TATGACTTTGAACTGTATGGAGAGTCGCATTCTTCCGACTGCTTGCGATAGTAAAAAATTATATGTGGATTTTGATTGATGCTTTTTCTATCAATGAGATTGTTCGCACTGCTATTGGCACCCAATCAGTAAAAAAGCTATCAAATTCAAGCTCATGTTCCGAGGTCATATATTGAAAGTATTTTGAAATGCCTGTTTTTGTTTCTTTGCATTGCTCATGCTTGTGGTATGCAAAGCCCACACTAGTGAGCACCCTTGCTCGCATAAGTTATATTGCACAACTGCCTCTATTCGCTACCTTAGAGATTTTTTGTGAATTGGTGTATGTTGAGTAAAGGACATCGCAGTTGTAGTGGAGAATCAGAAGGTTTAGATCGCCGTACGCGATTTGCCAGTTACGAGATGTCTTCAAATGTAACGCCAGCTTACCACAAATGTTTAACGTGTACAACTTACTAAAAAGGTAAATGCCCTGCATTCTACTTCTAGAATAAGTTTTGGACAATTTGACTATTGCCAATCCACGTCGCCAGTGAAATGCCTGCGGTGTGCCCGGGACTATAGGGGGATTCGTGCTCGCTTCGTGGAATGTCGAATTCGATTTTTGGAGAAGTTTGAGCTGCGGGGCTGGGAGTTGGTACAGGGGGTAAGTGAGGGTGCTGATTATAAATAAAAATTTACTTAAGATTTTATCGATTTTTGGAAAATCTTGAGCTACGAGGTTGGGAGTTGATACATGGGGGGGGGTAAATGAGGATGCTGATTAAAACCGAAATCTATTATAGATTTCAGCAATTTTTGGAAAATTTTGAGCTAGGAGTTGGTTTAGGGGATACGAGGGTACTGATTATGAATGGATCGGCTTTAGCCAGATATGTCGGCAAGTTTGAGATTTGGTTGCTCTAGTTATTCGATAAATCATTCAAATATTTATTCGAAATTCGACTTCCAATGTTCGAATATATTCGATATTCATTCATTCGATATTTTTGATTTTCCAAATTTATTCGGAATTCACTCATTCGAGAATTTTTGAACCTCGAATTTATTCGACATTCGTTTATTCGAGATTTTTTATTTTCGCATTTATTCGATATTCGTTCATTCGAAATTTTCTTTTCGAATTTATTCGATATTCACTCATTCCATGAAATATTCGAATTACCCAAGTATAGTGGCTAGAGCTCAAAGCACCAAATCTAACACAATAAGATCCATTAAAAATGTGGAATGATTTGATTAGCGCGTTTTACAAGCGCTCGGAGGAATTTCGACGAGATATGCGATCTTTACATTTTGGGCAAAATTCATGAGGACGTGTTTTCGTAGGCTCGTAACTACGTAACTAACTCGGCGAATTTCACAGACTGGAGCCTGAGTAATGCACCTTTCGATAGCACAGTTCCTAGTAATTTGGCTGAGAAAAGCAAGCAGGCAAGGTTTCTGACAGATACGCGAGAAGTGCGGCCAAAGTTACGCACTTTCGTGATGCAGTTGCAGTCACCTCACCGTATCTCTCCAAAAAGACCCTGTAATCCTCAAAGACCACGATTTTCGTAAAGAGCGTGTTCGAAAACCTCTATAAGCGAAGTTTTCTTACAATTCAGGAGCACCAACATTTTGACCAAAATCCATCGGCAAGCTTCTGGAGCGTAAAAAGAGAAAAAATGGAATAACCCGAACATATCAGAAAACTTGCTCACAGAGGTTATCCGATCTGCTGATTTCGAAACTCACATCTGCTTAGCAAAATAGCTTCGTATCCTGGGGCTATGGCGAGTAGAATTTGAGACGACAAGATTTTTCCACAATTCACCAGCCGTTCTATTTCTTTTGAAGAGAAACCTGCGGCTACTATTTAGCACATCATAATCTACAGAAAAAGTGCTATCGAAAGATCCTTGCTGGAATGTACTCGGGACCATGCTCGCTGCTTTACACCTTCGCGAAAAGACGTCTTCAGAAAGATTCAAGGATACTGAAATCGAAATATCAAGGAGATGCTGTATATAGGAAGATTCGCCTTGATGAGCTGAGCAAGGCGCTGCTTTCGGATTCAAAATATACTTATTCCGAAGGAAGTTATGGCGAGTAGAATTTAAAAATGCGTGATTTTTTCAAAATTCACCAACGCTTCTATCTCCTTTGGAAAGAAATCTGAACCTATCTTTTAGCGCACAATAATCTACAGGAACAGTATTATCGAATAGCACTCAGTAAAGTCTTCTATGTTGGGTAAGCGTTGCTTCAAATATTCGCGAAAGGACCTCCGCAGAACAAATTGAAAAAACTGGAAACGGAATATCGAAGACATCGTACCCCCACTTCCAATATATCAGAAGATTCTCCGCGCCGAGCTGAATCGAATGGTGGCTTTGGATTCAGAATTCGTCCGCTCTGAAGCGAGATATGGCCACGCGACGCTGATGTATGGACATGTCCATACATGTATGGACACGTACGGACATGTACGGACATGTCCATACATGTACGGACATGTCCATACATGTATGGACATGTCCGTACATGTCCATGCATGTCCATACATTCGCGTCTAATTTTCAAAAAATGTGAGCGGTATTGTACCTTGAGTTTAAAAGTCTGTTGAAATGAAATACAATTTGATGAGTGGTAATTGGGATATTTAATAATAATTATGAACTGCATAATTATGAACGTAAAAAGTCAGAATCTAGATGGGAAAATCGAGAGCTCCTGCGAGAGAGGAAATAACATGGCTTTAATTCGATTAGATTCACTGTCTAATTGACATGAGAGTAACCTCGCTCAGCCTTGTAATACTGCGAGCTGGATAAAACAGAAAACCTAAGACTAAAACCAATTGGGCTGGAACAAGTGTGTTCTTGAGTGGGAAAATAGTTCACTCGTCATAACCTCTAGCGGCAAGGTAATTATTCAATTTCGATTTTTTCTGAAAACTAGCTTTTTTTACAAACATGTCGTCCTCTTGTTAGCTAGGAGCATTATCTTCATGAACACTATATTCCAACTTCTAACATGCAGCTGATATAGGGCGAGAAAATGCTACGTATACCGGAAAAGACAATGCGAAGGCTTGCTAAACCATCCGAAAGTCTGCAACCAGATGAGGTTTAAGTGAAATTTGCTCGATAATCTGCAGGTGATGAAAATTGAAATACCGCACCTTTATTTCAAATTCGTAAATTCGTTTTTGAACAACGCTCCTCGCTGTCACAAAGAGGCGTCAGGATCTACGCGTATCGACTCTATCGCCAGAAGCTGAGAAGTTTACACAGCTTGCGTTTTGAAGAGAGAATGCGTGCAGCACCTTTGTTACCTTAGTTAAAAAATGATCAAAAATGTTCTAAAACATCTCTCTCAAGAAGCTTCATCTCAAGAAGGAACCAAAATACAGACTAGCTTTAAGGTGCTGTAGTTATATGCATTTACAGAGGCAAGAAAACGCAGCATAGAGAAATGAGTTACTCATGGAATGAAACTTCGAGAACTTGTCAGAAAGTTCAGTCCGTTTTTGGTGTAGAACTGTTTTCCATTATTTCCTTTCCTGTGTTGTCTGTCAATAGGAGAATTTTGTACTAGAGTTTCGACAAAACTAAATTTTTCATGCATTTTACATGGAATTTCGGTCCTGTTGTAAGTTTTATTGCACTGAAGAGCATGAATGTACGATTGGACTCGCAGATAACCCACGCTTGTCAGTGCATGTGATAGCTCTCTCTCTCTATAATCGACAAAATACTGCAAAGTGCCATGCTGCAGCACAACAAAACAATAGCATTTCTGACTAATAGAATGTGCTGATACAGTAATATTTGATTTGCAAATTTTTGAAACAACTCTACTTTTATTGAAATTGAACTAGATTCATGAATACTTTTACTCACAAGTGCCAAGACACGAAAACTGAAAACCATTCTTAGTAATCTCTACTAATCTTCCAAGAAAATCTTGTTTACAGCCAGAGAAAAAATCTTTGGATCTGAGATTGCTGCATTTGCTTGTCAGTTGGAACATTTATGGTTTCTGAACAGTACTAGCTTGCAAGAACACTTGGAAGCACCAAAATTTTGATGTTACAAGATAGGTAGAAGATATTCACTTAACTATGTGAAAATGCTAATAAATTTTACAGCTCTAGCTTCAATTTTACAGCTGCTAATAAATTTTACAACTGCATTATCAGCACAAGCTGATAATGCAGCTTGTTTGGGATTGGCATATGTTCAACGTATACATTATGTCATAGTGCATGTGCCATGAGCAATCTTGCACTGTGAATAACGGATGAAATAGGTTTAGCACACGAGTCAAACAGACAACTGTAAACGCTTACGCTGCTGCGGATGCAAAAAAATCTAAGCGTTGCATAAAGGTAGGGCAATGTAAGATCCCAAGGCAATTTGCCAATTTTTCCCCAACGCATGTTTTGACTGTGGAAGCAGTTGTAGAGCGTGAAGCCGCTGACGACATTAACCGAAATGTGTCCTATTGCTGCACCAGATTTGTAAATAAAGAAATGCATGACCACAACTTTCAATTTGTTAACGAAGCAAGATTGTGCAAAAATGACTGACTTTGACTTTATGCACTTTTGTCAACAAGGCGTGAAAGGAGATTAAGTAGGACTACGCAGCCCCTTGCCACTTTGATAGTGCAAGCCTGATTTATCGTGTGTCGATATGCACCGATGGTCACTCTTTGTACTCTTTTGCTGTTGTACTGGAAAAGTAATAATGGTTTAGGCTCACACAAATTGTAGAGTGAGCTGGAACTGTTTCATGTTCATCGTTTCTATATCGTCGGCTCCGCGCCTTAGATTAGGCGGAGTCTTGACAAGGTTGTTTCAGGCAGCCTAGATTCACCAACTTATTGAATGCGCAATGCTCTGCCCAGTTTATCGCGGGGAGCAGTACAAGTTGATGTGTTCTGTAGTTCGATTTTGACGTTTTATGTTTGCAGATAACATGCCATACATGAAAATTCTTACTATATTCGGCATGTGGATAGCAGTGTCTGGAAGATGTCCATGTGAACATGGATGGGAGTTTGATACAGGTGAGAAAAGCGTTTTAAGATTTACATGCAACTTACTTCACAGAGTTCATACGTACACAACTAGCTTTTTCATACAGTATCATGCAGTAATTTCTATACAACATTTCGCGTGTGTCATAAGGGGCGTAGGGGTATGTGGCGCCGGTGTGACCAGATTGTACTAGGTTCGATCCCCGCCGCTGGGCGGACCAAGCCCATTCCCTTCTGGGGCCGGTTGGTAGAGTAATCTGAAAGGATAAAATCGGCTGGCCCCGCAAGTTATTGTAACAGGTCTGCACGCATTCAACTGCCTCAACGAATACGAAGTTGAATGCGTTCGCAGCATATTGAAGTGCGTATCGAAGACTCCGAATCCTCTATCCTTTATTTGTTCCGCCTGTGGTTCGTCATCTCGTGTATTTCTACAGCCTTTGCAGCCGATTGCGTTATCACGGTGCCGTTTATAGCAGCAAAATTTTTCATAGTGTAAACAAGCGTTCAACATTTCCAAACTGCAAATTTGTTGAGTATCGAACACGTGCAGGCTTGTGGGAGGTTAATAAAAGACTTGAAGATATTTATAGTTTGCAAGGAAGCTATTGTGGCTTGCAATAACCGAGAAATTATAAAATGTGGAGAAGAAGCAGTAGAAAAGCTATAAAGCTCCTGGCGTTGACCAGAGGAGCTAACAGCAGGTTTTTACTTTGTTCTGATAATCTATTTTCAGTGATCAAAGGAGAAATCTATTACGTTAGTAAAGCTCGCTTTGTGCTTACCTTTGAAAAAGAAGGAGGAGGTGCCAACATAGCTTACAACGTGTTGACGAAGAAAATATTCACGGTAAGTAAATATATGACGAATAGTGTTTTTTCTCCTCTGCATTAACTCGGAAAGGAAATACTAAATCATCTGTTACATTTTGGCAATCTATGTCAGCGGATAACTTTTTCAACCCTCACCTATAACCTGACCATGTCCGCTGCAGACCTGGATTTCAAAAGGAATTTATGCAAGCATTATCAATGGCGAGTAGCTGGCCCCACCTTGGTGTATGTGGAGGGAGGGGGCGTTACTATTGCATTCTTTGACTCTTAAATTCTTTTGTACACTACACCGTGATGTATGAAACATTTGCAACACCTACGGTCTGTTCTACTGTTGGAAGAGAGAGGATAACTGCATTTTTATATTCAAATGCATTGAAAGTCCACCTGCTTCAACGAAACTGATTGAAGAGTCTTCAAGCTCTTATCAAATGCTAGTCATGGAATCCGCTGCCCTCTCAATTGTTGAGGTGAAGTTGCTTCAATGGTTTTGCGTAATCGCTGCTAACGGACGAGCTGCAACCTTATTCTAGTGCAGGTGCGCTTTTATACCACAAAACTCGCTTTTCAACATTCGGAAAGTGCTCTGTTGATTTTTTACACCGACTACATGGTAATGCTTTCTGTACGCATTTGCAGCTCTAGATTTAGAAGTTTTCCATGGAAACGGGAACTTCTCTGTAAGCAATAGATTGGGCATAACCTAAAATCCAACTATTTTTCTCTTTGGCTCAAATCAAACTCTATACGGAAGAGTTGAGATTAACTTGCGATTTCATTTTGAGTTGGCTATGGTTGTGCAAGTTTGCTTCAGAGGAGGACAACAGCGGCGGAACCAGAATGCTTAGCGCAAAGATTTTTTTCTAAATATGCGCACGAATTTATTGTTGTACAGCTGCTGCAAGCTTTTCAGAATTTTGAAAAAGTGCGTAGTGTAAAAGCGTGACAACCCTATGGTGAGGTTGGAGCTTGTCCGCTATTATCGGCAATTGTGCAAAAGCACCCCTTACCTTAATTACCCTGAAGGCTCAGAGAATTTCATGGACCTCACTTGAAATAAACAAGGGCTGGAAACTCCCCAAACCAGCTGCTTGTTGGAGCGAGTTGACTTTCAACGCTTTTGAAGGTAAAAAGTGCGGTGATCGTTTGTCTTCGAAGAGGATGACAGGTCGGAAGCGTTGCAAAAGACTCCAAGCCGCTACTATACGAAAAGTTTAAGAGTCAAGAAATGCAATAGCGCTTCCTCATTCGAAATCAATGAAACTGGTGACCGTTTTGAGAAATGATGGCAGCCCTAACATGCGCCTTAAACAGCAAAACTTCGGACAGGCTCATCAATAAGAGCGCATCGCGGTTTTAGAGTGGATTAATGACAGTGTTCGGCACTATATTCGTTGCATACACGCTCCACATGAAGGGTAGCAATACCATCACAAACTGACTTACAATCAAGACCACTGACAAAGCGATACCAAAAACACTCGCATAAGTCCTTCAACAGTGGTCTACAGCAGCTGACAGTATATGTGGCTTGTCTAAATATCACTCCAACTAATCCTTTTATTTATAATCTTTTGTAGCGCAGCCCGCTCGCAAGTAGATTTCCGAAGCATATGGGATATGTCGTTGTTAGGAATGGTTGCAAAGCAAAATTCCAGAATTTCACCACATATGTGCTTGCAGGTTGGCATAACATCTAGTCTAGAGGAAAGTGCTAATGATTTTGTCAATGTCTACAGAATTTCTATGTTCCAGGCAACTTACGACAAGATATGACACTCAAATCAGTTTATCTTCAAATTACCGGATGTGGCATTCATGTAAAGTGGGCTCCAGAGAAGGAAATGGACGCCGTTATCCCCAAGCTATTCAGTCCTCATCAAGATCCTCTTTAGTCAAAGTGGTGAATATATTAATTATTTTGTGTAATAGGTTTGTTTGCAAGTTTCAAAAATTTTTTTTTCAAAAAAAATTTTCATTTTGTTTAACGAGTGTCCAAAAGTAATTTGAGCTTTCTTCCCTGTTTTTTTTTTTGGTAAAATCCTGCTTGAAATGCGGTTGAATGCATCCTATTACGCCTCTTTGATTTTGACTGTTCCAGTTTCAAAACTCATTCTCGACCTATTCTATTAGCCGTCAACAACGGCTATAATGTTGCCGGAATCTTGAGATTGTTCAGATATGTATATGAGAAGATGCAATTGCTTTGTCTCAAAGATGGTAACATAATTTCGAAAATAGGTTCTGCGAAACGGACTTTACTACAATCGGAATACGGACATTCAATAGAATGCAACAAATAAGATTTGAAGGCGATCCTTCTGATTTAGTGGGTAAAAATGTCTAAGATTCGAAGTGAAACATGGATTAAGCGCAGGGCTCGGCAACAGCTAGAACCAGGGAATTTTGAAAGAAAGTCCTTTGATTTGGAGAAATTCTACGTAGTCGTATGATTAATTGATTTTGCTATGCCAATAAGAAGTTTGGTGAAGCCCTTTATCACTGCCCTTACGTTTCGACTGATGGTCGTCTTCAGAGGCCTGAAGTGAAGCGAGATTTGGATCTTCTGCTATATCAACCAAATGCCTTATCATGCTCTGGCTAGTTGCGCGCTCTCTCTCGATTTCACAAGCAAAAGTCGAAGGAGGAGAGGAGGGAGACAAACCAATCTTAGCGCTACTTCAACGATGGTGCGCTGGTAGTTTCTCTGCGAAATCCAGAATGCTCGAGAGCTTATTGTGCAGACGTGTCGGTCTCGCAAGCCAGAATAAAACATTCAACTACTAGTCTTTATCACTATGCACCTAATGTCCGTGCTTTCCTAATGGTGAATTGAGACTAATGTGCCTTTTGTTGGCTACATGTTCCCTTAGTCTCACGCCGAGCGCTCTCCGGTTCAATGTAAGTGGCGCCTTCAACGCACTCAGTTGATTTATCATTTCCACTTTTCCACAGTCGTCAACTTCACCGCAAAGACAAATTACGCACTCTTCTGAGATACAAAAATCCTTCAAAACCACCTCCCCCCCCCCCCTCCTCAATATTTCCTACTCGTTTTTTCCTCGTGCCGTCTCCAACCCAGAATAGAAAATATAAGATTAAAACTCTCTTTTATTACTATTACTAAACAGATAATTCAAAATTATTTTACACTTTCTGCATCGTGCTCCACGTTTCGGTCTGAAACCTACCGTTCCAGCACTTGTCTCCTCCTCTCCATCTCCCTTACTCGCTTCCCAATTTCCTCTCCTCTCCCCATCCCATCCGTCTGCCCCTCCCCTCCCCTCTCCTCCCCTGAAAATTATAGCAGGTATGTACCAGGTTGTTGCATAAGTTTCGTCCGTTTTATCTTTCACTCATATTGAGTTACTCCTTGATTCTAGATAGACTTCGAAGTACCATTCAATAGAGCAAATCAAGCTCTACAAGACGGTGTTCTTGCTCTCACAGCGATTCAAATCTGTTTTCACTTTGAAGCCAAAAAAAAAGACAAAACCGCCCGAGCAATAGAGTATATCGTAACTCCGTCCAAAACAATCCCAGAAAATTCCTAACCTGCTCACAGTTGCACTATTCACATCAGACATCTGTAATATACAGAGTGTCCCAAAAAGATGTGCACACTGTTTGATCGTCAATAACTCTCTTGCTTTCATGTCTTTTGCCGAGCTTGAGGTACCATTCTGTAGAGCGAGGATAAACTTAGATTTACAGTATGGAGCGAATCACCAATCACTCTCAGTACTGTAGAATCACGGTATGAACTTCTAGCATACAGCGTCACTGTGGAATAAGCCTTTTGATGAAATAATTTGAAAAAACTCAAAAATTTGTGTAGCAAGGTTTTCATGCGTGCTAATTTCACTACATAACTTTCCACCAGTTTTTCGAGCTTTCTTGATGGCGTATTCATTTTTCTGACAAACATTGGAAAACTAGTTCTTGTCTCAAATCTGAAATAACTCACGAAAGAAACAGTATACTGACGTACATTTTCATATTTAGAATCAGCGACTTCGATTAACCCAGTTTAAGAGTTTCTGGCTTGTTTGGCTTTATTTCTGAGGCAGAATACCGCTTCCAATGGCCTAAAATCCTCCTCAAATTTCCTACCGTAATCCTACAGTAATGAAGGGCTGCTGATAGGTCGCTCCATACTGTAGATCTAAGTTGAATCTCGCTCTAAAGAATGGTACTTGATGCTCGGCAAAAGACATGTAAACAAGAGAGTTATTAACAATCAAACAGTGTGCACATCTTTTTGGGATACCCTGTATACACTGTTGCTGTTTTTTTCCTTGAGTAGCAATCAAGAAAACGAATATTTTCACGTTTTTTGCTAAAATAATGCTGTCTGTTTCCACATTGTTGGTTATATACTACAGACCGGTACAAGTACAGACCTGAATTTTTAGCGCTTTACAGGCTTTAGTTCTCGCGAAACATCGAATTTGGGTCCGCTTAGTCGGGCGTCCCATATTTCGACGAATATTTTTCAAGGACTAAATTTTGTAGAGCACCTGCACCGGTCTGTAGTATATGACCACCAATGTGGGAACAGGCTTTAGCAAAACGTAAAAATAGTCGTTTTTTCGATTTTTATTCAGGGAAAAAAACAGCAACAGTATATATTGATGTCTGATTCAAATTATGTATCTGTGAGCAGGTTAGGAACTTTCTAGGATTGTTTTGGGCGGAGTCGCGATATTTTCTCTACTTTTTAAGCGATTAAATCTTTTAACTTTTTGGCTTCAAACTGAAAATGGATTTGCATCGCTGCGAAAGCATGAACACCATCTTGTAGAGCTTGCTTTGCTCTATTGAATGCTACCTCGAAGCCTACCTAGAATCAAGGAGTAACCTAATATGAGTGAAAGATAAAACGGACTAAACTTTTGGGATAACCTCATATAACAAAAACGAACATAAAAAGAAGAAAGGAAATAGAAGAAAATAGAATGGCAAGCTTAACCAAAACCGGTTGCTCAGGGATCGGCCATACCTCGTCGCCGCAAATTCCTAATTGCTACGATTGTTCATAATGGCGCATACTTTGTAAGCAAGATTTGGTATGTACGCATATGACTACAAAAGCTAGCGCCACCCACTCGAGTTCCACCGCGGTAGATTTGCGGACATCTGACAAATGGTCAGATCGCGTATCGCCGTGGCTTTGAAGAATTCGCGCAAGGTATATTAGGCCTTAGGGCGCGCTTCTCCATCGGAGTAGATTGCGCTGCCAATGAAAATTTTGCAATAAAAAGCCCAGAAAAAAGATTATAAAAACTAAACATGGAAAATCTCACGGTGAAGATGCCCTACAGGGTGTCCCGAAAAATGTATCAAACGTTTAATCTTTGATAACTTTGTTTTATGAAAAGCTTTCGCGGATTTTTGGGTGCCGTGCGGAGGACTAGGAGGACTAGTTTCAACTCAGATTTACAGTATAGAGCGAATCACCGATCACTCTCGTTTACTGTAGGATTACGGTAGGAATTTTTGACTGGTTTTGGGTTTCTTACAGCCAGAATTGCTTTAACACATTCACGACCATACGAACCACATGGGTAGCACTGTTCTGACATTTCGGATAATATGACCCAGCGGTAGGTCGTAAGATTCCTGAAGCTTTGGCTTTGCCAGTTTACGATGGAATCTTACGGTTTCTGGCACATGGTTGGGAACACCTAGGTGACGCTCGAGCCAGAGTGGTCCGGGCACGGGATAGTTACGGTAGGTTTATCATAGATATAAGGCACAAACTTTAGCTCATCCTTCGCAGAATGATGTTGTTTTTGAAAGATTAGGGGTACATGCACGAGTAATGCGGGGCGGGCAAGTGACTGGACTTATACTCCAGAAAATTGTCGATTATATCGATTTTATTAATTTTTTGCATCGTTTATCCCAGAAAGACGATCGACGATTGTTGACGTTTACTTTCATCCATCTAGTGTGTACAACTTCCTTAGAAAACTCAAGCCCTCTCATACGGAGACTTTTGATGGTATACCGCAAATTGTGTACTTGAAATGCGCGTCATCGCTTGCGGCTCCACTCGCGCACATTTTCAATATATCTATGATGTTGGGAGAAGTTCCGCCTCTGTGGAAAGAAGCCTTGGTTACAGCCATACCTAAAGCTGATGGAGCACTTTTTCTCACCAGTTTTCGCCCTATCAGTTTACTGCCTACCCCTGTCAAAATCATGGAGAGAATTATACGAGGTAAATTAATTAATTGGCTCAACAACTCGGGTCTAATCCCTGATGAACAGCATGGATTTTTGAACGGTGCTTCTACCACCACCAATTTGGTTGACAGTGTGTTCGATTGGAGCTTGGCGATCAATGAGGGCAAATCTGTTGACATTATTTACGTTGACCTTACTAAGGCATTTGATAAGGTTTGCCATCCTAAGTTACTGACTAAATTAAGCAAAATCGGAATCGGAGGTAATCTGCTTTCCTGGTTTGCATCTTATTTGCATGGTCGACATATGACTGTAAGAGTTGGACATCATTACTCCAAAAAGTACTGCTGCACTAGTGGTGTCCCTCAGGGGGGTGTGTTAGCCCCTTTGCTCTTCCTGATTTATACCCTCGATCTACCATCTGTTTTGAGAACCTCTCCTAGCATACAAGTAAAAATGTATGCTGATGATATAAAAATTTATGGAGCATATGATGAAGAGAAAGCCTCAGAAGTTCAGCTAGCTTTGCAAACTTCTCTTGATAATTTGATCAAATGGTGTGATAGCTGGGATCTAGCGTTGAACCTTAACAAGTGCTCAACGCTTCATCTTGGTAATGCTTCTACAATCTCCTATCACATCAAAGGCACTACGCTGAAAAGATGTGATGCTGTTAGAGATCTGGGCGTCCTGATTGATACTA